ACCGGAAGCAGCGGAAGCGGTCGAATGTGGCATAATAAAAGCTCCACTGCTGTACCCCACATACGCACGACCAGAAGCAGCGGAAGCGGTCGACTGTGGCATAATAAAAGCTCTGCTGCTTTACCCCACATACACACGACCGGAAGCAGCGGAAGCGGTCGACTGTGGCATAATAAAAGCTCCGCTGCTTTACCCCACATACGCACGACCAGAAGCAGCGGAAGCGGTCGACTGTGGCATAATAAAAGCTCCGCTGCTTTACCCCACATACACACGACCGGAAGGAGTGGAAGCGCTCGACTGTGGCATAATAAAAGCTCTGCTTTTCAACTACGCCTTTGTTTCTTTGTTTGTTTTGAATACGCGCTCTCTAGCGGCGACAAATTACATATTGTGCCTTTAAGCAAAAATGATAAAATGTAAGAAAATAGGATGAATTATATACATAAATGATAAAATAAATAACGACAGTGGTCCCCATAAAAGTGTTTGAATGTCTGAATGTGATTGCATCAGTTAAGAAAATATCACGAAGGTATCACACAAGCATGTTTTTCCTCCAACCGCCCAAAAACAGAAGTTTCATGGTAATGTTACAAAAATTATAAAATAATAGAAATTCTGCTTTTTTTGTTCAATTTAGTTCCTCGGCCATTGATTGAGCTCCATATCAAACTGCTGCGGAAGATCGGCAAGTCGGTCACACCAGACAGATGGGAGAAGTATCTTGTAAAGGTAAGTGCTTTAGTTTTAAATCATTTGCTATGAATATGGAAATGTCCATGCAAATGCATCTGTTTGTTGAAATCATGTTGATGCAGGTGTGCCAAGAATTTAACAGCACCTGGGCATGGGAAATGGAGAGAAAAAGCTACCTAGAAATGACGGTAGCTTGCAAGACTGGCATTTTAAAGGTCAGTATTTCCAAAGCAACTTATTTTCTGTGCTGTCAAGAACATGTCCGGGTCATATTTCACCTCCAAAATCAAGAGATTTCGAGATTCACCCTAATTCTTTATTTCCCTAACAGTACTTGTGCGAGTGCCAGTTTGATGACAATCTCAAGTTTAAGACATTAATCAATGAGGAAGACCCGGATAAGATGCGTCTACAGCCCATCGGCAGAGACCAGGAAGGTCTTCTCTACTGGTTCCAGTTAGACCAAGATCAGAATATACGTGTTTATTCTGAGGAACAGGATGATTTGGATGGGTCCTCATGGAAATGCATTGTGAGGTGAGCAAATTGTGAAGAGAAGACCAGAGTGATGGGTTTACCATGAATTTTGATGAACATTACAGCACTAATACGCTAGTATATGAGCTACACATTTTTACTAGAAGTATAAGAGTTAAACCTCATTTGTAGAAGTTTATCAAAGAATAAGAAATGCATTTTTATTTAAACAGGACTAGGAATGATCTTGCAGACACACTAGATCAGCTT